AACGATCTAGCTGGAATGCACGTCCATATCAACGTCGTGAAAATTTAAAAACATCACCGGTTACAGATATTGTTGTACACAAGTTAGGAGGTGTCAATTCAACTTTGAATCACCGGGATTGTATTAAGGAAATTAAAAAAAATCAAGATTATCAAATGGATACACAAAAGTGGGATGATATTGGTTATAATTTTTTACTGTGTGATGATAGTGATGACCAACAACAAATTTATACAGGCAGAGGATGGAAATTTACTGGCGCACATTGTAAAAGTTATAACGCAATATCATTGGGTAAGAATACATTTCTCTTTTAACTTTCTAGAACAGCGGATCTTAGATTTTTGTCAATTTGATCTAGTCATACACTCAAAAAAAATTCCATATAATAACTCATGTGATAAGAGTCTGAAGAAAACCGGCGGTTAACCGCGGTTATAGCGGTCCGATTACTGGCTCCCATAAACGAAATTTACCACGGTAAACCACCGATTTTGATGAATACTGGAATTTACCGCCAAAATGATTCGGTTAACCGGTCTGTCGATGATATTTGACATGTAATTGTTCCAAAACATCGGTGTGGCTATTTTAAATGTTTTTGTCTTGTGTCTTTCTATGTCATAAAAGTACTTGGAAAAACCGTCGGTTAACCGCGGTTTTACTGATCCGATTACCAGCTCTCGTTCCTATACTTTACCACGGTTTACAGCTTAAGTGCGTCCGGTATTTACGACATGGGAAAAAACCTATAACGAGTTTATGAAAGTGCAACAATCTACAAATTCTTTAGGCACGCATTAAAATTGTCTGTGTATCCTTGAAGAGTACATTGACAACTTCGATGTCCACTTGAAGCGTTCATAGATTGTTGCACTTTTACAAACCTATTACAGATTTTTTTGAATGTAGTAGTTAAAATCTTATATAGATTTTGATGTGTACGGTTATAAGAGCTAGTCCATGAAAAAAATCATAAAAATTAGGAGATTCAATATTTTTGAAAACGGCTTGCGTCAAAGTTCATAAAGCTATGACCTCTAATACATGCTTTAAAGTGAGCAAGATTTGATAATTTTTATTGAGGACACTCCTTGAGCATCGGTCGTGGCCACGCGGACTGACTGACAAGGGTTTTTGCTGCTGAAATGTTCTATTGCTTCCCAAGTTAGCATTTCGAGATTTCAAATCATATTCTTTGGTTTTTTGAAAGGTATTGTCATTATTGGTAATTATACCAGTACAAAATCTTTAAAGGCATTTAAATCATTAATTCAATGTGGTATTATAAACAATGATATTATGAAAAATTTTACACTGGTTGGACATTATAATTCACAAAATATTTACGAATATTATCTGCAATATTTTAAAAATGATACCGATCTTCAATATAGCAATCAAGCCAGCAAAAAACAGTTTCTTTGTACACGCTAAGAAAGGAAGCCGTACTGAATTTTAAAAACAGGTACGATAGAGGTACGACACTTTTAAAAAGATTGCGTACTCTCTAAAAAATTGCGAAGTATTGAAGAATGATTTTTTGGCTTGAAGGTTCTATCGTCGGGTAATTTTTAAAACCATTTAGTCTACAGAACGGTTTTTTTTGTTCTGCACGTCCTGCCAAAAATCGAAATGATTCTTTTTTTGTAGACGCGTTTGAAAATATTTTCAGAAAAAAGGTTTTGCATACATGGTAATTTTTAAAATTATCCCACGATAAAATCTTCAAGTTGCAAAATGATTTTTACAGTATTTCGGAATTTTTTCAGGGAGTACAGCAAAATAAAGTTTGGCACGAAACCTTTGGGCTTTGATCCTACCAAAGTTTTTTTAAATTCGGTACGGTACCTTTCTTTTTAAAGTGTAGTTAATCCAGCAGTCTCCACTTTTAGTCAATTCCAAGAGTCTATTATGCGACTATAAAGTACATTCAGTTGTCTCTAGAAACCTATTTTTTTATAATTTTTGAACCACTATGGAGAACACTACAATACTCGAAACTTTAGATGTCTGAAGAGTTTTAGCTTTTTCGCATTTTTATCGCTGAATATTTTATTAATCTGCTTCTTTCGCATATTTCAGATCGAAACTTCATTTTTTGCGAATTATATTATGTTATATTAATTGTTATTTTCAAAAGAAGCATTAAAAAAACGACTGCATTCTCGAGGGAGGGTGAGGTTTTAAGACTATCTTGAGGGTGAGCGTGAGTTGAAAATAAATGAATTCTGCGCTACTTACAACGATTGTTTTAATATGTTTCTAAATATTTTAAAGAGTTTTAACTTTTTGTGAAAGATAATTCACTTACATAAGTACTGCTTGAAGGTGTTGTCTTTGGGTTGGTACGAATCTGAATTTCTGATGTTATTAATCATGGTTTGTAGGAGCAATTTTGTTATTGTATTGTTTAAGTGTTTCTGCTGGTGGTTTGTTGCCTTATGGGGATATGATGAGTGAAGCTCGTCAATCATTAACTTTTATCGAAATACGTAAGAATTTGTTTTACTGTATTAATGATTAATTGTTAATGTATCATGGATTATCTAGAAAAGAAATGTATGAGATGAATAATGGTTGTAAAATATGTTTCCTAGACTGTGTGTGGGTATGGGTTTCTGATGTACAGAGAAGATCCACGCCCACACCCACACGCACACTCACATCCACACCCATCCAACAAATCATGAATCGGATATCTTCATACCAATTTCTATCAATGAAAAATTTAGTACTATTGAACATTTGGTCCTCAATCATGATTGTAATATTAATGAACTTAGTTCTTTACTTTCACATACACCTTACCTTCGACGCTTAACTTGTCAACATCTAGTCGAAACGAATGAAATTGCTAACAGCGAAATCCTGTTAAGTTTACCTAATTTGACGCATGTTTCTTTTCTTGAATGTAGTGTAGAATTTTACATTGGAAAAGTTTACTAAAAAGATTTCTTCTCAACTACAAGTATGGTATTTAAATACATATGAAGCGAGGGCTTATCTTGATGTAAATCGATGGAAACGACTTATCATAAATCATATGCCTTACTTGTACAAATTTTATTTCAATCGTCACATGTCTATTGATGATGATGACGATATTCCAGACTGCGAAACAATCAATCAGTTCAAGTCAGTATTTTGGACTGAACGACAATGATTCTTCGAGTTCAAGGGTAAACTTGATGAATTTGTGTATTCTATTCATCCCTATCGGTAGACCAAAAAAAGTATCTTTAGTTGATTCATATCTCTTCTTTTTTTTTAAGAAAAAGATGGTACGATTATCATGAATATAAGCAATTTAGTGTATATTCAGATGAAAATATTCATCAACAAACACCTAAATTCTTTGATATATCTTATCAACAAGAAACGAACAATTGGTTCATTCAATCTATTGCATATATTCAATTTAATATTGAGGGCAATGTTTTTGCTGTTTGGTATCCATCATATACGGACTATATGAAACCCTGTTTGCTGGCAGTAAAATTTACTCATTTAAATATTCATTGTAGTGAGGCTTCAGTTGACATGTTGATCGAAATTATACGTTTAATGCGTAATCTACAGTCATTAGAAGTTTTCTCGTTACCACTAGTGCAATTAAGCAGCTTATCGGCGGAAATACAGAAATGCTGTTATTGATATCGATCACTAACAAAATTACAACAGTAAAACTCGAGAAAATGGTAGAGATAGGATATGCAACAGAGAATAATTTAGAGAATATCGTAGG